CCCCCCCCCCCCCCCCCCCCCCCCCCCCATCCTCTTCCTCTCTATAATCCCCTCTCTGATCCACCAATGTTTGCGGCAGGCATTGGAGGCGGGCCGCAACCCTCGACCACCGGGCCCTAATCTGAGCCCTCGCCGCAGCCACGGTCTACCTCTGACAGCAGCGGCCGGCTGCCAGCGTAGGAGTGGCAGGCTTAGCCTTCTCCAGAGAGACAGCTAGAGGTTGTCTCTACATGGATGGGCACTTCGCAGCTCGGCGGGGGTGGGAGGAAGGGGCAACGTAGCAGCTGCTCAGGACATATGGGCAGAATTCATTAAGTCTGGCAAAATGAGCCAATTGTGGAGGTGGCAAGAGTGAACGTTTGTATGTCTAATAGGCAAATACTCAACTGCATCCGAGCTCAAGTATTCCACAGCATATAAATATTCAGAATACAAATATCCTGTGTGATAGCTTCATCCGGAGTAGTTCCACTTGATGAAGCAGATTCGAGGCCTAAAAAGTGGGCAAAACAAAAAATCCTCTTTGGATGGGCAGTGATTGAGCTGTTAGATGCACGGCCTGTGTGTCCTTGAGGTCTTTTGCTGCGCATTTTCAAATGTCAGGAGAGCGCGCCGCGTCTCAGAAATAAACCCAATCACAATCTGTAAATGTTACAACTGTTTCCCTAATAAACGTGCACGCACGTCGGAGGCCTCCATTGAAATTCACACACATGAACCAACATGCGACTAAACTGAATGCTGATCGACACGGCCCGGCTCATGTTCAACACGCAGTTGCGCAATGCATTTGATGAATTAAACAGAATTCAGCACGACCGTGTCGTAGCAAACGGTGTCCTTGAACCCGCGCTGTCCTCATTAGATCCCCCTCCCCCCCCACTTTAAAGAGCAGTTTGAACAAGAGCCAACTTACATCTATTCCTGTCCGTCCAATATAAAGGTATAATGTATGCTAATCCACCCGGTGTCAATAGGAACTGTGGTCAATGCATTTGAGATAATAGTGAAGAAGGGGTTGCTCCTATCGAAGAGCTACAAGATAAAGTCAATGGCGCAGTCAATAACAATAAGGTTGTGGGCCTTAATGAAGAATGTTAATTTGAACACAATCAACTGGATTTCAGCTTAGCTGATTATCAACCTTGGACTTACTTGTATGAGGGTGTTGATAATGACGGCTGTAGAATGGATATTTTTGCCCCCCCTATTTCAGTAGGACTTTTAAAACTCCCGGTGAAACTCCAAAAATGTACCCAAGTCAGTGACGTAAAACGCAGCACTGTTCACTTACTCGTGAACTTTATGTAGGAAATGCAAGACAAACTGTACAATATAAACAAGTTAAGAAATACAGTAAACATTCTGGATCACACAAAAGTTCGGATGATTCACGTCGCTGGTTTCTCAGTCCCCACCGGACGCTATTCAGTCCGGACTTTGTGCTCAAATTGTGGGTTATGAAGCCTGCTCGTCATTCTCTCCTTGATCCCATTCCGTGAGCAGCTCCGAGGACACCTCTGTAAACAGATGATCCCAGTCCCAGAGCACATCTTCCTGCAGAGCCAAAACGCAGCAGTGTTCACTGACTAGTGAACTTTATGTAGAAAATGCAAGACAAACTGTACAATATGAACAAGTTAAGAAATATAGTAAAGATTCTGATCACACAAAAGTTTGGATGATTCACGTCGCTGGTTTATCAGTCCCCACCGCGTGCTATTCAGTCCGGACTTTGTACTCAAATTGTGGGTTATGAAGCCTGCTCGTCATTCTCTCCTTGATCCCATTCCGTGAGCAGCTCCGAGGACACCTCTGTAAACAGATGATCCCAGTCCCAGAGCACATCTTCCTGCAGAGCAGCCCAAGAAGAATTGGGGGCAGACAGAAGTGCAACCGAGAAAGAGAAGAAGATGAGGAGAAGGGAAGACGGATGAGGCTGTTCATGTACACATCATAAATCTTGATTACCTGGGAGGCAGGTGGACAACAGCTGCACAGTTCTTTGGTGGGAAATCAGAGACGATATTTACTGAAAAAAATCCACTCACCTCCTTCACCTCCTGCTCTGGTGCTAAAACCTTTGTGAGAAGCTTCAAGTCGATCTCTCCGTCCTGAAGAAACAGCCCAGGAAAGAGTGTTAAAAGGAAAACACAACTGATTGCCTCGACAAGTCAAGATAAGACAAGGTTCCTACTTACGACTAACTTAGCGGTGAAGACTTTTTAATTCCATTTGAAATTACATTTTACAGACAACTTCAAAATGTTCCCGATAAAATGTGCATATGCTCTTAAAGGTCTTGACTAAAACCTCATCACGGTTTAGTTGGCTCCACTGTCGCAAATGTGTTACGTTACCACGGGGGGATTCAGGAAGTTACTTTTTTTAACATCAATTCATTTTTTTTTTTAGCATCATAAAACCCGACTTATCTTGTGTTTTTTTTTTTTTACTTTGAAAGGCTGATTCAAGACATTTTTAAGCCAATTAAGGAACCCTGTAATAAGAGAACATATATATAGAGAGACATTGAAGTTGCTGACTTACGAGAGTCTGGAATGCAGAGTAATATTTCAGATCGTTGTCCAGGTCTCTGTAGGTCATTACCCGGTTGACTTGAACACTAATTACAGGACATAAAGCGACAAAATTTGAACCAAGATATCTATATTTCAATCAACTTCATGCAAAACACGTGTTCGAAGAAGAAAAGTTGGTATGCGTGTTGACTTGAAGCAAAGGAAGAACAGAAAGCAAGAGACGGTTGCCAACTGCTAAACGTCTCAAACTGAAACCCAGCTGCTTATCTGCGGGTCAGAATTAAGTGAGGGGGCTCTGAAAGTGGCCGGGGCCTCGCAGCGCATGCCAGTCCTACTTATTGCACATTATACGCTACATTGCCCCTGCAATGAGTTCAATGTGGATATTATCTCGCATAGAGAGCGAGCCCCAGCCTAATAACCTCCACCGCTGCCATAGCCTCGCTACATATTCGACACATGTCGCCGTGCATCTCACTGCCCTGTAAATCAAAGGACCTGTTTGGTAAAGGACCCGGTGTAACACAGTTGCATAAATCATACCCTACCGTTATTCCTCCATCACAGTCAGATCACATGACACACTCAGTGGCAAAGGCAAGTGTGGAGGACGTGT